AAGTGCCTTCTCCATGGCTGCACCTAAATTAACGAATTATTTCCATTGAGAGGCTTGTATGCACCCTGCCAAAAGCTTTTGCCATACAATGAAGCACTTTGCTAGGCAGGCAAGACAAAGACCACAGATACTTAGCAGGCAAAAACCTTGTCAGAATTATTAAAAAGTCTATTTACCAACTGGTAATCATCCATCATGCAGCAACATGTTCCACAGCCTTGGTGCAGCCACTGATCATTTCAATTTCTAATCTTCTACCTACAACATTAGAAACTGAAATTATCAGCGACTGCACCAAGGTTGTGGAACATGTTGCTGCATGTTGGATGAAGAACATACCATGAAAAAGTTGCAAGCTGTCACCTATTAAAGTCTCTGAAATGTTCTTAGATATTGGGAGTGGGAGAAGGGAAGAAGAGGACTACACGAAACTTGGAAATTCAAGGTCTGCAACGAAGTTTAATCTTAATGATATTGGTAGAAAAGTTTCAAAGATCACCCTGTCCCAACATGAGCAAACCATGTAAAAAAACCAGAATCACAACAGAATCAGCTGAAGGATCACTGTGCCCCTTATCACAGAATTCACAGAAGAATTCAGCAACAACTACAAAAGTATTTGTTTCAACAGCTGAATGATTCCTCTGGGCCCCATCCAGGAAGGCAGATTCTCTTACAGTATACGCAGCACCAAGATCCTTTGTCACTTAAAACTCCCCATGCATAGCTACCAAATACATTCTGCGAGTATAGAACTATGCTTTAAACACAGAACTGCGAAAGGCAGCTTCCAAGATCCACATTTTAGCACAGAAAATCAACAAGCATTTGGCTTATATTAGACTGTGGGTGAAGCAAGGTGAGATGGGTTGTATAATTCTATTCTTCATGGAAGCACTGCCATAATAAATCTGTGGGAAGCAAATTGTGGCAAGAACCATGGATGAAGCCAATAAATCTGATTTCAAGTCACTTGAACAGCATTCATTAAATAAAGGTATGTTTTGGGTATCAAAAAGTACTGAATAGTTTCTGCAGTCACCACAAAGCTAGGTGTCTACAACAGGGGTGGAGAACACACCAGACCTCTTTACCCAGACCTCAGGAACCCTCCCCAGGCCACATCCCTCACCGGTTCTGCTTTGTGCCCCTTTCTATTGTTTTAATAGGGTTGAAATGTGTTCTTCAACTATGGTAATACTTTATTTGCCTGAACAGAAAGATGGTTTTTGTATGGCTGAAATTTAGCCTACTGAACAAAGGGTTTACCCTGTCTACTTTTATGTCTGGCCCAATGTTAGAAACTCATATATGAAAGCTATGAGCCAAATGGCACCTGGAACCTGGGTTACAGGCACAAAAACAGAATGGCTAGTCGCCATTTCTGCCCCCCAAAAAACTATGGTTTGGTATTACATCTCAAGGAGCCCATTGTATCCCACTGTAATCTTTGAGATATGGGCAAAGCAAGGAAGTTTGAAATAGTCAAAACAGACTGAACATTAAAGTAGAGAAAGCAAAAAGGTATAATTATATCATTAACATCTAATAACTCCAGACTCAAAGACAACTTTGGTCCACTGTACCCAAATATACACTAACTTGCAAACTTTCAAGCTTATGGATTACTAACTGCTCATCTTTTTAACATAAAACTTACAACACAATCCTATATGTGTCTACTCAAAAGTTAAATCCACTAAAGTTCAATAAGACTGACTTCCAGGAAATTGGGTAGAGGGTTGCAGCCTTAACATGAAATCTAATGTCACAGGAACAGAGGATGTTACTTTATACCACATCAGACCAAGGGTCAATCTGCAATATTATGAATACTGACTAGTTCATCTAATAGATTTCTCTACCTGGAAACACCACAGACTGAACCCAGTAGCATATGGTGGTGTGGGCCACCAGTGCTTGCTTACTTGACCTTCTGGCAGGTAGGCTATCTCTGTTTAACTGTGGGGAAGAGTGGGAGGGGCAAAGCAGTTGAGAGGTTAGAACTGCCTAAATGTACTGGAAAGAGCATCTTATTTGGCTCTCCTGGTGTGCTTGTACATAGCCAAACTACCTGCTGCTTTGTCCCTCCCAGGAACCAGCAGCAACCCACCTGCAAGGTCAGGTAAGCCCCACTCCCCTGTCTGCTAGCGAATGAACTAGGAAACTTTTGTACATGAGGCAGGTGCTCTATTACTGAGCTACATTCGTTCCTGACTTACAACTGAAATGCTACCTAATATACTGGTTCAGTAAAAAATAGTTACCATATACAGTTAAAGTTGTATCTAAGCGATACTGGGTGGTTTATGAAGGAAGATTTAAAAATCCCACTCCCCCCTCCCTCTCTCTCTCTCTCTCTCTCTCTCTCACACACACACACACACACACACACACTATTCTTTTAAAACAAGACATGTAAAGAAGATGGATCTAACTATGACAAAACTGAGACACGACATTAAATGGTTAAAACAATTAGAAACACTAAAGTTCTGAAATTATGGATTTGTGGGCAAGTCAGAAATTGTTGGGCAGTAATCAATTTTATAGTAAGTTAGAAACCAATTACCTTGCCAAAGTACCAAAATCTAGAGCAAGATCTTCAAGCTGTGTCAGTTTCTAGCCACCTTCCAAGCTCATGTGATTTTTTTTTTTAGATTAATTTATAGTGGCCAGCTCCTTGATGCATATGATGGAATTAGAGAAGAATGAAAGTAATTGGAGGGTTCATTGACCTTTTGAGATATGCTAGATTTAGATGATAAAAGAGTGCAAAGGAATCATAATCTTTTGATCCATAAAGAATGTAAAGAGATAAAACTGGTCAACAAAAGGGAACCCAAAGCAATAAAACCTACTGGTCCTACCAGAGCACCCTTGGTTGTTGTTGTTGTTTTAAAAAACCACAGGTCCTTTTGATGGGTTTAGTGGCATTACACAAACACCCAACAGATTAGCAAATAACTAGCGGGAAATGCATCACACTCAAGCACATCCATCCACACGTGTACAGTTCCAGAATATTAGCTGCATTCGTCTGTGACAACAAAATGACAAAAAGTACTTCCTTTATTTAAATTCATGCAAGCACCACGGACAGACAAGTATTACTTACAGGTATAAATCTTGACCCAGTTGTAATGTTCCCATTATTGAGTGCACATTATTATGGAATGCACAACTTCCATATTAACACCCCCCCCCCCAAATTCCTGGTTCCTTAACTGGGAGTCTATCTAGCAATAGAGACCAAATAATGCTTAATGTTCAATAAGACTATCAAAACACTTTTTCATGCTCAGAGGTGGTGCATGCAGCAGTGAGCTGGCCACATAAATCCTACCTTAGCATTAGTAAAAGTGTAACTATTTTATAATCTATTTCAGTGCTCACAACAAGACATGGCACTTAAAAAGTCCAAAACAAAGCACAGCTTTACTTCCTCCACTGGGGAAAGTGAGTAAAAGGACAAGATGGGGTCAGTTGCTGCAAGATAAGGTACTAGTAACTCTACTGAAACATTCTGGGGTTGGCCAGTGCTTGGTGCAAACAAGCTTAAGCGTGAATTTGGCAGGAGCAGCTCAGCAGCAGTTTAAGGCTGCTGACAGAGATGTTCCATGGCCAATAGCAACTCCTCAGATGTTTTTGCATGTTTCAAGCATGAAACAAAAGCATGCCACAAAGAAGTAACAGCTTCCTCTTCACATCCCAAACCTCTTCTCCCTTCAACAATGATAGTGAATGTTGAATGTGCAAGTGTATGTCTAGAACAAACACCATTAGATGTACTGATGGATAAGTGTTTAATACTTATTGTATTTGTTTAAAAATCAATTTCATTTATATACAGTGGACCCTTGGGTTACGTACCTCTCTGGATACGTAATCTTTGGATTGCGAAAGCGGCAAACCCGGAAGTATTTTTCTGGGTTTCACCACTTGTGCATGCACAGAAGCACTCTATCACACTATGCGTGTGTACAGAAGCGGCGCCGCTGGTTACGGATTTTTTGGGGTACGCACGGACCTCTGGAATGAATTAAATCCCTATCCAGAGGTTCCACTGTGTGTATACAGAGCTCTACAGTCATCATGATGTAGGCAGAGCCTGTTGGAATTTATTTAATAAAATGTATATACCATACCTTTCTTATTTAATAACATGTATATATTTGACCAGGACGCGGGTGGCGCTGTGGGTAAAACCTCAGTGCCTAGGACTTGCTGATCGCAAGGTTGGCGGTTCGAATCCCCGTGGCAGGGTGAGCTCCCGTTGTTCGGTCCCAGCTCCTGCCCACCTAGCAGTTCGAAAGCACCCTTAAGTGCAAGTAGATAAATAGGTACCGCTTTATAGCGGGAAGGTAACGGCATTTCCGTGTGCGGCGCTGGTGCTGGCTTGCCAGCTGCAGCTTCATCATGCTGGCCACGTGACCCAGAAGCGTCTTCGGATGGCGCCGGCTCCCGGCCTCTTAAGCGAGATAAGCACGCAACCCTAGAGTCGGACACGACTGACCCGTTCGGGCAGCGGTACCTTTACCTTTTTACCTATATATTTGACCAAACTGCAGGAGGCAGTAGAAGACAGGAGTGCCTGGTGTGCTCCGGTCCATGGGGTCACGAAGAGTTGGACATGACTAAATGACTAAACAACAACAATATACTACTTGGTAAAGTTTCTAAGTGGTTTAACAAGAATGAAAAGTGGTAAAAACGTAGAGTCACCTCTCAAGTGCTCCTGGACTGAAAGAACATCCCCACTGAGACTTTTCCCAAAATCACCCTCAAAAATATATATGCTCCCCCCCCCTTGCCATGTCACTCTTGGACTTCTTGCAGATTTGCCCAATGGTCAGGCTGAAAGGCACATTAGTGACACCTAAGAGTACTAACGGCAATCCACTCATGCAAAGGCAAGTCAGAACCTGGGATGCAGCAACTGCCCCAGTGTAACCCACCCTCCCCCACCCAGCACACTTTTCACCACAGCCCTCTCTCACCTGCATACCAGGCACCTGCATGGCGACGGGGGAGTGGGCCATGGTGATCTCAACCCTTCCTTTGGTCTCTCCTCTCCTCCTTGCTGCGGCCTCTCCTCCTGCTGCCGGGTAACCACCGCCTCTGCTATTACTGCTTCAGCTGCAACGGAGCCTATGGGTGGAGGGTAGGGGAAGGAAGCAGAGCATTAAAACACCTTCAGCTGCACCTTCGCCAGCTCTGCGGACCTCAACACACTCCTTTGCTGACCATCCTCCAGCCCCTTCTTTGGCTCTCCCCCTAGACTACTGGTGCCAGGTGGAGGTGAAGTAATTCACCACAAACACACATACTCCGTTTTAAAGCCACCTCTCTCCCCTACTTTGGCCACCCTTCCGCCCCAACCAATCCTCAGGTTTCTTCCCTCTAGGTCCGCTCCTATACCTCACTCTTTCTTCTCTGCCGCCAGCTGCCCCTGGTCTATCTCTGGGGGAGGAGGAGGAAGAGGGCACCCCCCCCGCACTCACTCAGCTGTCAGATTTTCCACTCGGAGGCCTCTATTTCCCCCCCCCCCCCGCTCAGTCTCAGCCCCATCCTGCCCCCCGCCCCGCACCCTCCACGGAGCTTCCCCGCTTGTGTCCCGTCCCTTCCGCGGCCCACCTCGGCTCTTCTCCGCGCTCTCGCCTTCCGGGCTAGCGGCGTGAAGGAGCCATCGGCCAGGCGGCGGCGGCGGTCGCCCTGCGGCTGCTGCTCCTCGCGGCCTGCCCGGCTCCGTCGGCGGGTGCTGCTGCTGCTGCTGCTGCTGCTGCTGCTGCTCCTCCTCCTCCGCCGGCGCAGCAGCCCATGACCCGCGCCCTCCGCGGGGAAGCAGCAGCGGCTCGGCGGCGGCGGCGGCGGCGAAGGAGGTGGGCGCAAGAGGAGGAGGAGGAGGAGGAGGCCCCGGCGGGCGCCAGGCGGAGTCGCCTCAGGAGGACGCCGCCGCGGCCATGTTGGCGGGGACAGGGGAGAGGAGGAGGCGGCGGCGGCGGCCGAGGCAGCGACCGGAGAGGCCGAGGCAGCTGCCTCCGCGGGGCCCGAACCCTCGCGCTCCCCCGCAGCTCCCCTCTCCCTCGCTGGCGGCGGCGGCGGCGGCGGCGGCGGACTCCTGCTTCCCAGTCGGCCCAGCGAGGCAGCGGCAGAGACTGATCCGCGGCCTCCGTCTCGGCAGCGTCACCCTCCGCCCGCCTACGGGGAGGGGACACCCGCGGGGGAGGGAGGAAATTGGGCCGCGGGGGAGGGGAGGGAATCGCGAGGTGGGGGGGGGACGGGGTGCCCCCAGTGCGTTTGGGGCGCGTGCGAGTCCTGGCTGAGAATGGTGGGGGGTGGGAGGGGGTCCGAAATGGTGGCGGGGAAGCTGTGAGGCGAGGGGTGAGGGAAGCGGGGGGGGGAGCGCTGAGGGGAAAATAATGGGATGCTCTGGTGGAGGCCGAGGAGGATGTGAGGAGGATTGTGAGCGATGTGAGGGGCAGCTGGAGTGGGGGGTGGGGTGCCCATAATGGGGGCACCTTGGCGCGGGGGGGAGACGCTGAAGATGGATGTGAGGAGGATTATGAGGGACACGTAGGACTGGGGGGAGGGGCAGCTGAGGGGAAAATGGGGATCCCTAGGTGTGGGGTCTCCTGGTGATTCTGGGGGGGGGTCGCTGTGGTGGATCGGAGAGCGAAAGGGGCTCAGGTAAACTGGGGTGGGGGGAATTGTGAGGGGCAAAGTAACTGAGGGGAAATGGCAACTTGGGCTGAAGGGGGGAATGCAGTGGGGGGTCAGGTAAGAGAGAATATTGTGGGGGGGCTAATGGAGGCCTACGGTAATTGCAAATGCACTGGGGAAGTCGAGGAAGTTCAGGGGTGGGGGTAAGCACACCAAAGGAAAGTGGGGCGCAGAGGCGTGGGTGGATTGGGGTGCTGAGAAGGACCGGAGGGGCAGGGCATGGGAGCTCAAAACAACAAGTTTTAGTGGGGGGAAAGAGAAGCCATGGGGGATGTTGGGGGAGTCGTAGGGTGAACTTCAGGGAAAGTAGGGGACACCCGTGGGGAGAAGGAATCTTTGATTGTAATTATACTCATTGCTTTGTCCAGAGTTACACTGGAAACATAGAGCCGTGCCCTCAAGGAGCTTACACTCTAAGATGCAGGAAGGGAGACAAGGGTATGAAATAGAAACGCTGAGAAGCAGTCCACTTTGTGGAGGACGGTGAAGGGACAAAGCCTGGTAAAAGCCCTGTTGAAAAGGTGGGTTTTGAGGATGGGGGCTAATGGGGAAACTGGGATCCATAGCTGAGTGAGCTTGGCCTGAGAGCAGTATGGGAGGAAGCTGAGAGAGATTTGGGCCTTTAATTGAGTGAGCTGGAGGGAAGGTGCAGAGCCTGAACTCAGGAGGAGCATAGAAAAAATGGGGATCCAGGGGGATCGAGTAAGGGAAAGCTGAAAGTGTGGGAGCATGGATGGGAAACCTGTGGGCTTTAAGATGTTGGACTCCAGTTCCCATCATCCCCAGCCACATGAGGCCATAGTCTGGGATGATGGAAGTTGTAGTACAGCTGGAAGGCACCTTGAATGGTACTGAAAGGGAGCACACATCTTCCAATTTTTTTTAATTAGTACCCACAGTGATTTACATGAGTCGTCAACAGGCTCTTTTAATTGGTACCCACAGTGATTTAAGAGTCGTCAACAGGCTCATCACAGCTATCTGCCAATCACCCATTCCTACCACCCTTCTGAGTAATACCCCTCCCCACCTTCTCACTATATAGAAGCATCTGGCAACTTCTCTTTCAGTGTATCTGAAGAAGTGTGCATGCACACGAAAGCTCATACCAAGAACTAACTTAGTTGGTCTTTAAGGTGCTACTGGAAGGAATTTTTTTTGTTTTGACTATGGCAGACCAACACGGCTACCTATCTGTAACTGATTTACATGTGCAAAGGATGATTGCATCATATATTTATTTATTGCATTAAAAGTTGTTTCTGTTTTATATTCCACATTGCTCAGGTGGGATACAGGCCTTCCATCCTCACAACAGCTCTGTGTCATAGGTTAGACCAGGGGTTGCCAACCTGCTGGGCATGAAAACTTCTGTTGGCGCTCCAGACTCTGAGCTTTCATTTAAAATAGAATTAAGCCCTCTTAGAAAGAAAGTTATGGGGCAAAATTTACAGGTGACTTCCAAGTGATTTCTGTGAGATGAGAGTGGTATGGCTCCCTTCTATGTTTTTTTTTACTTGTACTGAAGAATGCTCTATTGTTATTATATAGCAACAGCATTGGTGTGCATATGCAATCTCCATAATTAGGAGCAGCAGGGTATAGCTGACTTCCCATGGTAAGCAAAAGGTTGTCAGAGGTAGTTGTCTCTGTGATTTTGTGTAATGTCACACACTCCACAGCAGCCATTTTGTGTTATGCCATGCCCCCTTTGTGGTAGTAATTTTGTGACTGGCGCCTCAGCACTCTCTCAAAATTTGAAATGTTCCCAGTAGTCCAAAAAGGTTAGTGACCCCTGGTTAGACAGAGAAACTGGTTACAGTCACATTGGGCTTTATGGCTGAGTGAGGATTTAAACTGTGGTGTGCAGGAGACTTAAATAAGAACAGGAAAATCGACAATGGTTAAAAAAAACCCTTGCCCTTTCCACTTTCGTTTCTGCCTAGAAGTAGGGCTGTTGTGGCCCCTGGATACAAGAACATAAATTCCCAATTCCCACCCTTACTCCACCTTTCCTTTCTGATTAATACTAAATGTTGATGGTGCAACATGTTTACTTAGGAATCACTCCCAAATAAGTATGCACAGAATTGTTGCCCAAGCCTAAAAAAACCTGACATAATCTGAGAGGATGCATGAAAATTTGCTTCCTTTCCTTTTTTGCCTGACAAAAAAACATTCTGAATAACTCGAAAGGCTTATATATTCTTTCACCAATGTAAATTAAGCAAATAAGACATCTTTTAAAAAGTAAAAAAGAGCCCTGCTGGATCAAACCAAGGCAGGTCCATTGTCTTGCTTTCCTGGGTCATAAACCAGATGCCTCTTAGGTTTAAGCAGCATACGCACAATATAATCTACATTCAATGCGCACTGAGATTTCTCTCCCCCCCCACCACCTAATCCACACACAATCTGGATTGTTCTTGGTATGAGCTTTTGTGTGCATGCACACTTCTTCAGATACTTTTTCTGAAGAAGTGTGCATGCACACGAAAGCTCATACCAAGAACAAACTTAGTTGGTCTCTAAGGTGCTACTAGACAATTTTTAAATTTTTTATATATATTTCTATTGATTCTGCAATGCATTTGAAAATGGACAGAGGTGGTCCCAGTATACTTTGCCCAATGCTGTCGTATGGAAGGATGTACCAAGATTGCAATTGCCACTTCTTCACATGTGCAAAGAAAAAGGGGGAGGGTTTTCAAATGTGTATCAAGTAACCACACCCATCTTTGTGGACATCACGATCTATAATAGAAAGAAGCACATTGTGGACAAGTGTGCACTCAAACTACTAGTTTTTGCTTTAAATGGATAAATATGTACACAGACTTAGGGGACCATTGTTTGGATGAAGCGTGCAACCTTTTTTCTGTAGCAGTTCCTCAGCAACTGGTGCTCAGGGGCATACTGCCTATGAACCAGGAGTGTACCACAAAATTAATCTGGATATCTTTTAAGAGAGCAGTAAAAAATGCAACTAACGCCTGAATTCTATCAGCAACTCATGGCTTAAACCAATACTGTTTACATATCTCAGAATTATATCAGTTAAGCCTATGCACTACTGAAGGAGTGATCACTACCACACAGGATTTTTCCAAGTTCTCAAAGGTATTAAAACTTTCAATTTACTTTGCTCCCTTGCCATCCTGTAATAACAAATTTGTTTGCAGTCTGACTGAACTAAAAGCATAATATCCCTTAGTCATCTGACAAACTGTCCTTATTTCTCTCTCCCAGGTAGACCATTTTGTGATAAATGGTTTTGAGGGCTCATACTATATGCAATATTTACACATTTTTAAAATAATGAAACCATTGAAAAGTAGGTGTTTCTAAAATAAAACCCAGTCTTAATTGCATTCTGCAACATTTCAGGAAATTCAAAAGTACCCATTCATTGGATTTCTGAATGTCCATTGAGCTACTGAACAGTCCTTGACTGCTTTGAACCCAGCAATCTTCAGCTGATCCAGACCCAGAACCCACCTCGGACACCCAACCTACAACGTAGAACTTTCACTTTCAATTAGTACTAATAACACACATTGCTAATCCTAAAATGGCAGTTAAGAGGAATACTGTATACATAGCGTTACCTTGGTACTACTATTACCAGGGATATTTTGCCCCTTATGTCACCTTTCCTGTGTATATAACGGGATACATAATCAAAGGAACGGGGGAGGACAGGCAAAGCCCACCTTGGGAAGCAGTCTCTGTTCCACAAATTATTTTTGTCCAGTAGAAGTGTTGCCTATCTAACCCTCTTTCTGGTGCTGCAGCGCCAGCAGCACAGGCAGCTAGCTTCCTTGGTGAGTTTTCTGTTGGCCTCCTTGTAGCTTCAGGTTAAAAGCAGCTTAAATATCCATTTTGGTTAAGCAAGAATCAGCCAAAGTGTAATGTGTATTTGGAATGTTGTGTTTATTACTTTTTTTTGGTAAAGTTTTAAATTATTATTTCATTTTATAATGTATATCAAACAAAGAACAATAATAATAGACAAAAATTAAAAGAACAACCAAAACTATAAAATAGGCACATAGAATTAGTAGTTGCACGTCTTAGAAAGTCTTTATTGCTGTTGTCAATGCAATAGCAAGTTGTGAGAACATAAGAGCCCTACTGCATCAGGGCAAGTTTTTGATTTTTGAACAGATGTAGGCCATCACAGTCCAGTGTAAAAGAATAATTATAAATATTTCAATGAACAAACAAATAAATGTAGAACAATGCTCTGAATTTGCACATCAGGTGCTAATGCAGTACCTTGGTCCTCATGATGGATATGGCATTACAATATAAAGTTTGTATTTCTATTCTCACCTTGAAAAACTGCATTTTAAATTATAGAGTTGTGTCCTCCACTTTTCTACCAAATTTAATTCTGATATCTGATATTAGAAGGTGTTACTGCATTGTGAACAGACACACAAATAGAATGTGCTATAGACAAAGGCCACTTGCTCAGTAATGTTATTTGGGGATGAAATAGGAGAATCAAGAAATA